TACATAGCTAAGCACATCTCACCAACACACCAAAATACTGTCTTTAACCCACATGAAGAAACAGAGTCATTGTGGCAATAAAACTGAGACGTGCGCCTAACCTAGACACCAGACTGGCAAGCCACATATTTTCAGCTGTCAAGATTACAGGGGTAGGTATACTGCTGTCTTTTGCCTCCTCCAGTTCACTTCAGGATTTGACCAATCCTTTATTAAAATCCAGACAGAATCTCAGCATTCTTCTCTATTAATTCTGCTAGCCGGAGTATCTAAATACCTGAAACGCAGCTTTCTACAGGATATCCCCGTGAGGCAGGGAAGTAAGCCTATGCTAATTTTTGAGACCAAGAGCTCACAGAAAGGGGCTGGCCTTCAGACAATTCAAAATGACTTGTTCGAAGTCACACAGGCATTCTGCAAGAAGGCAGATCAAGTGCCTGGCCAAACTTGGAGCATTTTCTCACCACACATACCGCCATCCTACAGGGTCCATCTATAGCATCAGATATGACAATGTGTAGGACAAGTTTCAAGGAATGCCATCACCAGGATTTCCACCATCTCTCTTCCACACGTAAAAAAGAAAGAGACGTTTGGAAGTATTTCAGGCACCTTCGTTCTCCCTCAGGATCTATCACCAGCAGTAACAATCAACACACTTTCTTAGAAGAGAAATTTGTTACTTCAGAAAACTAAAATCCAAACCCAGCAAATAACTGAAACTTACCTACACCTAATTTTGTGCTTAACTACAAAGCGATTTTTTTTCCCCACTAGAAAACAGTTTGCAAGTGTAGTTTTACTGGCACACAGTCTTAGTGAAGACAGAGATTATACTTGGAGAACAACTCAGGAATAGATAACAGCGGCTCCTTGAAGAATATAAATCATAATGGCAAAAACATGGGCTTTTGGCCACAGTTGCTTCCATATTAGAGTTTTATTTTATTTAAAAGCATTTCAAAAAGAAACACACGTCCTAATTAATGCTCTTAAAGCAACAAACATCTCTTTGTGTAGCCCAGACCTGAACTAGGGAAATTTCCTCTTGCATGACATAGCGAAGACCCAGTCTATATTCTCAGGGCAAGTCCAAGTCCTTCTGTGTCCTGCTCGGAGCAGGAGGAGAACAACTACAGATGCAAGTCCTGAGGCTGCAGATGCATGAGAGAGGGTGAACCAACCTACGACCTGCTCTTCTGCCCTTCTGCATAGCTCCAGGACTTGGTGGAAATCTCCACAGACCAGTTCAGTTCACTAACCCAGCAGGAAAATCAATCAACCAATCAATCCACCCATAGCTAGTTTCTGCCTGGGTTAGCGAGCTGAATTAGCTTAGAGAAGGCTCTGATGATTGCTATTACCAACTCAACAGATGGGCACAAGCCAATTTGGCCAAAAGCAGAAGTAGGCATAAGAGGCACACACGCAACAAGATTTCTTTTAGGTCCCTCTCAGAGTGGCTTAGCTGCCTGTGAAATCATGAATTTGGGGAGGAGTGGCTGGAAAGCTGCCTGTTGGAAAAGGACCTGGGGGTGCTGGTTGACAGCTGGCTGAACATGAGCCGGCAGTGTGCCCAGGCGACCAAGAAGGCCAATGGCATCCTGGCCTGTATCAGAAATAGTGTGGCCAGAAGGAGCAGGGAAGTGATCGTGCCCCTGTACTCGGCACTGGTGAGGCCGCACCTCGAACCCTGTGTTCAGTTTTGGGCCCCTCACTACAAGAAGGACGTCGAGGTGCTGGAGCGTGTCCAGAGAAGGGCAACGAGGCTGGTGAGGGGTCTGGAGAACAAGTCTGATGAGGAGCGGCTGAGGGAACTGGGGTTGTTTAGCCTGGAGAAAAGGAGGCTGAGGGGAGACCTCATCGCTCTCTACAACTACCTGAAAGGAGGTTGTAGCGAGGTGGGGGTCGGTCTCTTCTCCCAAGGAACAAGCAACAGGACAAGAGGAAACGGCCTCAAGTTGCACCAGGGGAGGTTTAGATTGGGTATTAGGAAAAACTTCTTCACCAAAAGGGCTGTCAAGCATTGGACCAGGCTGCCCAGGGAAGGGGTTGAAGTCCCCATCCCTGGAGGTATTTAAAAGACGTGTAGATGAGGCACTTAGGGACGTGGTTTAGTGGGCATGGTGGGGTTGGGTCGACGGTTGGACTCGATGATCTTAGAGGTCTTTTCCAACCTTAATGATTCTATGATTAAATAATCTGGTTTATCTTAAAGTAAAACTAAGGGCTCAGAAAAAACATTGTTTCAGTTAAGGAAGCTTAAAATGCCAACTGAACATTTCAACAGCCACCAACTATTTACACGATACCTTGTCACTTAAGACAAAAAGAGCAAATTAGCTGAGTCCTCTTTCACCCAAGTTTAATTAACGTGTTTCGTGTCACATTTCAAGGAAGCTGGACAGTTAACACAGCTCAGCCATGTGGTGACTTTCTAAGCCACTGCAGCTCCGCTGTCTGTTCTTCAATGTGTGCTGACTTTGGCATCGTTCACATACTCGTTCCTCTCTTTTTGTTGTTTTTCCTAAACGATGACAAGGCTTCAATCTAGTCCTTTTTCATCTGCATTACTCACACTGATTTTCTTTCCACTCAGCAGGCTTTTACTCACTCCCAAGACAGCTCTGTCATTGCTGGCAGTTAGATTCATAAGCACTGGCCTAGTAATTCAGGTAAACTTTAAGTGACGATGTTGAAACTGTCTAGTTCTATCAGAAATCATATTTTGAGAGATAGTCTGAAACATGCAACACAAATACTGATGGTCGTACCTCTCTATTAACACATATTAATTAATCAATACTGCCGTGAGCCTGTGAAGTACAAGTAATTACTCCCATTATATTTATGGAGAACCCAATAGAGATATACTTGCATTGGCTACAGAAGGACTTAGCTTCAGATAAATGACTAATTCTTGTGAGACCAAAATCAAGAGTCTTGTGTACATACCATGCCTCAAATTCCTCTCAAGTACTAACTTTTATCCAACTGTGGATAAAAATTAGGTGGGTGAAATGGTAACTGCAGCCAGCTGCCTACTTTGCTCTTCTGACAGAGGATGCTGCCCCATGGTAGGAGTAACCAAAACCATGGTAGTTTTAAGACTGTTCAATTTTAATCTTATTCAGTATTTTTTTTTTTTTTTTTTTAAAAAGACTCTGTTTTCTTCCTTCTCCTTCTGCAACACGATGCCCACTTATCCTTTTTAAAAGACATCTATGGTTTAATCTGGAAACTTTATACCTAAATGGGTCATCTTGGCCCATTTCCTCTAATTTAATACTCTCTAATCCCCTCCAAATAGGTTCACCCCAGCTTTCACTCAGTCAAAAATTATTCACCTCTACTTATATTGCATTCTCGATGACCATATAAACTGCACATATACTGGAATAAATCAAAAAAGCTGCTACTTCTCTGATGGAGGGTGGCAGCTGATTAACAGGGCACATCAATGTGCCACAGCAATTCCAGAAAGCAACAGAACAACGCGATACCCAACTAAAAGTGCACAGGGGCAGAACATGACTGAAATCTAGCTAAAGCACAGGAAATTAAAACTCTGTAATTCACAGTTTGGAAATTTATGTTAAAAGTCTGATTCAAAGTTAAAGCTAACAGACTGTCCTTGTGCTCACACAAAGCACAGAGGAGCTCTAAGATTACTCTGCAAACTCTGAATTACCAGTATAATAAAGATGCACAGGGCAGTGTGGCCTTACCTCCAGACTTCTTTCCTGCTGTGAACTAGATCTTTACAATTTCAAGTGGTGATTTTAATACTGAAATCCAACATATTTCCAGCTAAAAGAAAGAAGAGGAGGTGGCTCAGGGGACTAGCAACAAAGTAGGAAACTACTAGTTTTGTATAGAAGACTAAGCCACCAGCAATAGAAAATAACTAATTAATGGTTGTATCAAGAAGTCTTTTTGAAATACGTTAGTAGTTTAGTTTCCAACACAAAAACCGTAGCAGTTGTCACTTTTTGCTGTGACTCCCTCTACAGAAGTCTGTGACTGCACTGCCACTTGCACTATGAATGTCCATAGACTAGATGAATAACCTTCATCCTTGAAATAATCCATCTGGGAAAATTTGACTGCGTTCACAGCAGCCCAGTTTCTTGCTACCTATGCTGTAGACAGGATTTCTCTTTCCAGCTCAGTCTGACAGAAGGTACAATCAGAAGTCAAGAGGTCAAAGTATCTCAAGAATGTGATTGCCAGTGGACAAGGATTTTGCCATGCCTATAAAAGAGGTATGGGAAACAGTGATATGGGACTGGCCAGTGAGAGAGATGGATGACAGCACAGTACAGGTCAAGCCTTTCCTTTCAGCCTGACAAGCTTCAAACTTTGAATTCATTTGCTTATTTATTGAAGAAACAGCACAGATACCAATTACATTGAAGATTCATGACAGATGTCATTTAAAAGAACAAACTAATAGGCTCAATTTCAAGGATGAGATTTAGACAACCTCAATTCGTACTGGGATTCAAGACACAGCAGTGGTTGCTTGGACCAACACATCCAATTCTAATGTTAGGTTAGGTGCCCTAGGTTTTCCGCCTTTGCTATATAATACTATGTTAATGGTGTACTCATCCCCTTTCACCAAGTCTGTAGTGGTGCTAAACTCTCTGGCACAGCTCTGGTATCCCTCTAGTATGTTCAGTAGATGTATGGAGATCTCTCTTTTAACACTACCTTTTCTCTGATCAAGGCTGAGTTTCTAAGAACTGCATGATTTTCCTTCTCTTTCAGTGACAGAAAAGTAGAAGCAGAAATAACGTATCAGCCAGACCAAGTGAGGAATTAGATGCTACTGTTCCCTGGTTTAAATGTCTAGCAAATACCAAACCAGTGGAACTCTCCAATTTGGCCAACTGCTGACAACCATTGTAACCATTTCTCTGTTCTTTTTAGACAAATTAACAGAAAGAAACCACCAAACAACTCAATTTTTGTGGGTTTTTTTAGCTTGTACTTACACTACTGGAAAAGTTCTGAGCATACTTTACATGGGGATGGGACGTTATAAAGCCTCTTGAGGGTCTTCAGTGTTATTCACCATTCTGTAAGACACAATTAAAATATACAAAAACGTTAGAGATTTCTGAAAGGCAAATACACTCTGACTTATTGTTATCTGGCATACAATTATGCAGCCGGCTTACAGAGGGCAACCTTACGGCACTTTCACAAGGCAGCAGTGCCAAATCACTTCTGGTTAAAAAAAAAAATAAATAAATAAAGACAGGTCCCTTCAGGATCCTTCTCAATCACCCAATCCAGTCCTCTGCTAAAAGGCAGTAGAATGTATACCAATCACTAAATATAACCATGGTTAAGAAAAATGCTCCCTGGAACCACTGAATGTTCTTATATCATCTTTCAATTTTTATTTTTTAAATTATCGTTAAAGCCTCACCCTCTTTTTTTACCTCCCTTTGCCTTCAACAGGAGCTTTGACGTGGTTTGCAACAGACCCATGGTCTTAAAGCCTGGTAAATAATCTTTTACATCCAAACAGCCTATGAATTATAATGACTCGAGTTATAAATGGATACTTTACGGATCTAAACAAGGCCAACCAGCTGAGTATTCTGAGCTTGTGCACACCCATAGGTTAAAAACTGGAAATGGTCAGTCAAATCACTCCGGATAATCTGTAATTAATCCAGACCCATATATAATCATAGATATATACTTCAATGCACATGGTAGATTCTTAAAGAGAAAGTTGATGTCTGGTAGTGTAATCAGTCCAGAGACAAAAATTTAAATTACAATTGATTTCTTTTGGCCACAAGTAAATTCAACTATGCAATCATTTAGCCTTATGACAGTTACCTACCCTTTTAACTCACAAAAGCTATTAAAAGGATTATTTGGCTAACATCCGCAAAGAGCTTAGAAGACAGGTACTATGTTCTGAAAAGGAATGACCTAATAGAATTTTCTTTAGCTATCACTGCTGATGTCTTTCTCCACAAACTAACATGGACTGAAAGTGCTTCAAAAGTCAAACTATTAACCAACGGGAAAGAGAAAGGCAGGGTATTATATCCAGGCAGATGCAGAAAGAACTAGAGAGAATATTTACACTTCAGGCTATGGGCGTATGTGAGCTGGAATAGAAAACAAGTGGGTAGAGTAGCACAGGGATTTGCATGGGATGATTTACTCTGCTCCATAAAGAGTTGTCTGTAATACTAGCAACCAAGCCTTGCGGACGGACACATCTTGGCTCTTCTCAGTGGTTAAGAGTGGTCCAGATGCTACAGCATGACTCTTCCTCTATCACACCTGCTATAGACTTTGGGGAAGAACTGCACCTAGTCCAGATGGAGTCTGCTGGGCATACACTGACTATACCATCGTTTATGTGGCTTTTTTCCTTTTTTCCTTTGTGAAAAAACTTAGGAACCCTCAGGACAAAAGGCTGGGCTGAATGAGCTTTTCCAGGGGTTCTGGCCACCAGCTTTCCCAGGGGTTTTAAGCCTGCCCCCACATGATTGCGCCCACCCAGATGTGGCAAAGGAAAGCGCTGGGTGTTTTCGGGGAGGGAGCTGCTGAGAGCTGGCTGCTGCCATTTCCAAAAGAATTCATCTGGCCCACATCTAGGTCTTGAGTTGCCTTCTTCCTCTCCAGGAAAGGAGGTCGCCAAGAGCAAGGTCACAGACAAGATGAGTGGTCCCAGCAGACCACAGGTCATGTACTGTGGCCTGGGAGAGAAATCGTGACGCTGAAGTGCTAGTGGATGGAAAAGACAAACACACGGGTCCCTTGCAGTCAGCCACCCCAAACCTTTTAAAGATAGTTCTACACCAAAACACTTCTCTCTTCAATCTCTTAACTGCATTTAAAACATTTTCCCTGAAGCAGTCGCAAAAAAAATGAGATCATGCTGTTGACTTATTGCCAAATTTTGAGTTTAATACCGAGAGCTGTTTTGTTTTCCAAAGAGGAACAAATTAGACTTAAATATATACAAACTTTCTGAAGGTCAGAGAGGCTAACGATAGAGAACTGGATTCCTCAGAGAAAGATTTGCTTCCAGGGTGAGGAGCGTGGAAGAAGCAAAGAACAAAACCCACAAAGGAAAGAAAAGATCACCTTCCATCATCATGAAACACAGTATTAAAACTGGAACATGAGAAGATGAGATAGAGAGCCAAAGAAAAGGCTGCAGTAACTCAGGTGTGAGATGACAAAGGCAGGACAATGATATTAGTGATACTAATGGAAAAGAAAAAAATGGTACAGACCTCAGATGTTATAAATGAAGAGCCATTAGGACCTAGCCCAAATTTGGGATGTGAACAGAGGAGGAAGAAGGAACTTTTCCAAGAGACTCCAAATCTGTGAGCACAGACAGAGCATGACAGCATTTCAGCAGAAATAAACAGGAGAGAGTTCATGAGAAAATAAGAGGAATTCTCAATTTTTGCTATGTTAAAGGTTGAGGCAGCACTGTTACGGTCTGAATGCAATCGCAAACTGTCACAGACAGAGCCAAGCACTAAGGCAGGTTGGGGAATCCTCAGGTCTGCCTTGGTAGCTGGACTTGTGAAAGCAAATGCAGTTACACAGAAAGGAGAGGAAGCTAGTGCTTCCTACGTCTGATGCCAGAACAGAACGGCTGCTACTGAAAAGGGTTACAAATAGTCTTTGACTCAACGTTGGTCTAAAGTTCAGCAGCACAGAAATACCTTCCCGCCCCCCCCACACATGTAAAGTTGCTTAAATGTTTTTGTAATTTAAGGGCATATCAGATGGGAAACAAGCAACCCCTCGCCTATAATTTTAGCCAAAAAAGTTCAGCCCCAAACAACGTAACTTCAGCCACCACAAATCATGATTCTGAAATTGTCACCGAACATCGGGAATAAAACTCTTTAGTGCTGGGTGTATTAAAGAGCAGGCATTATTTTATTTGGCTGGGTGCATGGGGGATCTCTCCTCCTATGCACAACACCGTATGTTGCGTCAACCGTCCCTTATATGGCTCTTCGATATACATATTCATTATAATTTCTTGGAATAATCATACATATTTATTAGATTTCTCAGAACTAATTACAATATCTGCATAGTCTTTCACGCATGTGTTTTGAGTCCTTAGGAGCATCTACAGGTGTCTTAGGTGGTCTCTGGAGGTCTTTGCAGGAGGTGAACTTCTCTTGAACCTTTGGGCCCTTCTCCTTATGTGGTCACAAATTGGCTCCTCACTGCTGTTTGCCACAGTTTTGGTTGTCCTTGTCTGGTTTCTGCTAGCACTTATCTATCTCACAATGTGCTCGTTAACTTTGGCCTTGTATGTGATGTGCTCATTAGCTTGATTAATCCAGCAGTTTATCTTACAACTATTTACAACAAAATGATGAATCAATATCCCTCTTTCCCTCAGTCTCCTTTTAGCATAAACCGAAGCAGCAAACCAGGTTTGATCACAGCAGCAAAAGCAGGTGCCACCACAATCTATAGTTGATATGCAAGTAAGAACACACAAACCTTTGCCCTTTTCGCATTATTCATTAAATAAATTATCTGCTAACACAGGGAAAACACTACCAGCTCTCCTTCCTACTTCTGGTACAGACAATAAAAAAATTTCAATATTAATATGGAAATCGTGGCCACAGTTGTAGAATCAGATGGAATGAACAATCTTGTCCCCAGCTTAAGTTGCTATAAAGGCAGCTTAAATTTACAATGGATGAGTCTTCATGGCAATCTGTTTTTCAGATATTAAAAATCTCATTTTCTCAGTACCAAGGACAAGTGGAAGTGTAAAGCACTGGAGTATCAACTCTGCATTTGTCTCACTTGACACGAAATCATTCTCATTTTAGTTCAGATTTTTAATACATTCTTGGGCTCCACTTCAGTTTTCTTCATTTCTCACTGTATGCAATTAAATGTTTTGAAGTATAGTTCACCCTGATCCACAACGCCTTGCAGAGGTAAGGAGGAAGTCACTTGGTAAAGATGAGGCTGATATCACTTATTTGGAAGAGAAATTCATTTTCCCTTTTAATTTCTGAGTGAGTCACATAGTAAAATAATGCCACCACTTTGTATTTCAGTAATACCTTCCTTGGTCAGTTCTTAAAAAGGGCTTTACAAATTACAATTTAAAAGCTTTTGTCCTTGGGAACGAGAAACATCACCACTTTGTCAAAAGTAAAACATGAACAGAGGGACTAAATTCTTGGCTTAAAGCCACACAGGATAGTGTCAGTGGCTGAACATGGTATCTGCCTGAGGACATAGGCCCCACTACTACAATAGGACTATTACCAAACCAGCTATTGAAACGCAGAAGAGCCAAGTTTCAGCTTGCTGATAAACCTGGTGCACTGGATGATGAAGAAAACCTGCAAATTCAGCCCCAAGAATGAAGTTCTACCACAGATGAATTCGCAATAAGGCCAGATCCCCAACCCCATGCATAATTACAAACCAGTCCTCTCCTAGAAGTAACAAAAAATTTCAAAATTTAAGTCTTTTACTTAATGTATAGCTTAATGTCTGTAGGAATCGCCAGGTCTTCTGCCTGGACTCTGTGTGTGTGTGTGTGCATGCGTCTATAAACACGGGCTGTTACATTTCATCCGCTTCACCTTCTCTACACTGAGGCCAGCATAAAGTAAAACAAACCTGTTACCTGGCTTAACTTATGCCCAGAAGACATCTTGCCTCAAAAACAGCAAGAGATCAAGGATCCATTCACTCTAATACATTCCAGTGGTTAATCACACCCTCCATTACAAATTTGTACTTGATTTCTACTTTGAATGTGTCTGGCTTCAGATTCCAGACAGCAGCTCCTGTTAAGCCTTCCTTTGCCAGCTTGGAGTCCTTTATTCTTGGGAGATGTTCAGACAGGCTGTTGTTTACCCAGTGCTTTTAAAACTCCAGGTACTGCATTTGTACCAAAACTTAAAAGATAAATTCATCTGGGTGCACGCACAAAAGTAGGACTAGTGTCCAAAATACTAAAGCTAATCTAGGACTCTCTAGCCCATTTTCCCAAAATAGGCCTATTAGAAAAAAAATAAAAAT